CACTTCAATCCTCGAGTTTCACTGAATGGCTGGGCTTTTACACAAAATCCGTGACATAAGAGATTGATATCTGACACGCAACCATTACAGATCACCAAGGTGCTGTGAGCGGTTTGACCGGTAAATTCCTGTGAGCCAAATCTGTAAAGGGACAAAACGATGCTCCTTGGTAATGACATCCACATTTGCATTAGTATTCTCTGAAGTCAAATTATTAACTTTATTTTTCTGCTCATGGGTTTTTCATAAGCTGAAACTGCCTTGTGAGGTACGAATTAGAAGAGTAATTCCAGAGAGCGACTTGTGCGAATGCATAAATAAAAGTGCATGTAGCATGAGAGTCACGCGAAAAAGTTAGAGACGGTGTGAATAGTATATAAGGCGGTACCATTCAGCAAACAGGATAGTATCAGTTAAAGCGAGTAGACAGCTCAACTTAGCCGAACTCTGTTGAACTAAAGCATTAAGCAATGCACAAAGTAGGCTCGCCATCCTTTCCTGACGCTGCATCCATACTTGGCAAGACATCTGTGGTCAATGCCTTTAATAACATTGGAAACAAAGGTGTAAAAATAGCTTTAGAGGTGCATTTACGTATCACGGCATGTAAGGAAGTTGTAAGAATTATTATCCACTAAAGGTTCTGCCAGCTTAATAAAGTGAGGAATGAAATGGCAACAGACCTGTAGAGGGTCCATCAAGAAGCAAAAGCCACTGAGTTTCCTCCGTGTCAGAGTTTTGGAGAGCCCAAAAGCAATGAAGATCAGATTTGTCGGCCCTTCAAGGCCTTCAATATTCCTGAGTGAGACACATTTTAATGTGTCAAAATGTACATCGGTATGCAAGGCAATCTGTTCTAACGGCAGAAATTGCTAAGTAATGTGCGAAACCTTTTATCCTGGAGGTGCATAGTGAGGGTGTGAACACCAACATCATCTCGTAACTTGGAAATTTACTATGTTGGCAGTGAAAAAACTTCATCATTTTCTAGAAGATGTCATGCGAAACATTCATACCGGAAGGGAAGAAGCGGTAGCAAAATGCCCGGAATGGAGTGCTGACTGTTTAGAAATCTCTCGCAATGTATAAGCCGAATCTGCAAATCACCATCGTGCAAACCATAACTAAAGGAAAAATGCAATCGGTAGGGTTGGTGCAGATTATCCACGGCCAAAGCTTCGTTACAGGAGGGCATTGTCAGATGTGATGCAGTGATCCTTTTTTTCCACCAGCAGATCCAATGCTTCACTAACAAGGTCAAGTAAATACAGGTATGACAAATCGGGTTTTCGAAATTATCAAAGAGCCTTTCAACTCAGGTGGCTCCAGCTTAATCTTTATCCCACCGGTTGCCTTGGAACAACGGTGCAGTTATCCTGGACTTTCCATTTAAATGAGCAGCAAATAGGTAGCCAGAAATGTTTAAATTCTTCATTCACTGCAGACCAGCGATCGATTAGCCATAATAAATGATAAAATTCTGGGATTTTCTGAGCTTGAGATGCAGGCCTATAAAAGATAGAAAAGTATAAAATTGTAAAAGAGTGTTCCATATTACTTCTCCCAGATTTATCAAAAGATCTCTTATCTGGAGCAGGTGTAAGAAGCTTGGATAGGTTAAGGGAAAGATGGATTTCGTGTTGACTAGGTCAACAATGCGAGAGTGTTTGCGCGCACCCTCCATCGTATTAGTCCACGTTATGTGTTTGAGTTGTCTTCAACTTAAAAAATATAAATTTAATAAAAGCAAAATCTCTTCTGCATCTGTTAAATCAATTTGACGCATTCCATAGTAAATGAATATGTCTTCTTTCATGATGGGCAGAAGTTAATCCCACTAGAGGCGAGAAGCCCATAAAAAGTGACATATACGGAGGAGACAGTATCTCATGAAGATCATTTGTGGCGTCTGAAGGAATAATAACAGGATTGTTTTCCTAAATCCAGGCATTGAACTAATTTTAGTCCGAAGGAGATGAAGACCCGGTCCAAATTAGTATTTTTTATTTGCCGAGGAAATTTTTTGATGTTATATTCGTTCTTTTATTAAGGCGTTCGAGAATCCATTACAAGATCTCATCTGCTAAATAAAATTACAAGTCGGAAGGTTCTTGTTACTTCTGCGATGGTTAACGATTCAAAGTGTTTGTTAATTCATACATTACACTTTTGCCGTCGCTCAATAGGCCTTTAATGAAATGAATCTTATGATTTCATGATGAAGCGAATGATCATAGAATTCGGCAATAAACTCGTCACTTCTGTTGAACCAACAATGCCTTTCAAAGTTGTGCCAACAATTTGTTAAATAAAGCACACATCTCGGGTTTCATTTGAAATCAGTGAAGTGGGTGTTTCAAGGCAGTGGAGGAACAATTTGTCAACTCAATTAATCTACAAACGCAGTGGGATGATTTGGCAGTTTTACGTTAATTTTGCCAGATGCATCTTAACGTTATTATCAATCTGGCCAAATATAACAGTTAAACGAGCGCACCGACAGAATAAAGCAACTGATAGATTTGTTTAAGGCGAGGTACACTAATGTATTGACACACACGCGTAGGAAGTCGCATTCATGATTGTACCGCCCTCTCACGGTATTCCACGTTAAGATGGAATAAACCGTGTAAAATCTATCACAGCTACAAAAGATGTTTTAAGTTATGTCATCCCTGTGACTAAACATGTGACCAATGTGCTGCTGATCCTGTACCGGAGTTTCATATCTTTGTATGTGAAAAGATGTACTCTTGAATAAATTTGATTATCAAGAAAAAAAACAAATTACATCTTCAAAGGTTATTTAAAATCTCAGGCTCCATGGTTGAGTCTACCAGGGGAATGGGCTTGGAAACGGTTCTTTTATTTCTGCCATTTAAGCATTCTGCGTGCTACTGACCAAACACAGAGAGATTACATTTGCTCTCAGGTCTCCACTTATGACCCGCCTGCATATCGGTCACCCCCCCTCATGCTGACTTGTACATCACACACGTTAAATTAAAAACTCTACTACCGTTTTGCGGGGTATTTTGCTTTGACGGAGATGAAAAGCGGAAGTACTAAACAATGCTTGACATCAAATAAATTAACTCAAAAATTTTTAAGACATGACAAGATATTTTGAGATATGTATTTGGCTAATCGTAATGTCTTTAGTGGTACATTTCATTGACGACTTAATTTTCATATCCTATTCGTTTGGTATTAGAGATGGACGGTAATGTAAAAGACAAACAACATTTACTTAAATATTACTAAACACATGGACATCACTTTCTATTAGTTTCATAAAATACAATAGCTCTACTTGCGGGACCGCCCCTGTAATTACCTTATCCTCTTAAAGCCTGAGGAGGAATTATTACTACATGTGTTCATGGGAAAACTCAGGATTTCTCCATTCAGTTTTCCCACTTTCCTTGGACCATTGTCCGGTAAAATAAGCTTAATCTTTTTGTACTCCGTAACGGGGATGTATACAACCTCACAATGGCACCAAATTCTAATGTCCCCGATGATTTTATTTCAAAACGTATTTCCTCAGACACTCCAGGATGCGTATCGATATAAATCAAGAGCTATTTGACCTCTTGTTACTAAACAATGTCGTGTGAAGTCGAATGCAGATGTATGGAAAAAGAGGGAGATCCAAAATCACCGACATAGAACTAGATGTTTGTTCACAACATCTACATGTCCATCACTAACAGCAGGTCGGAATTGGAATGTGCCTTTGGATTTTGCAAGGCGATTTTGCTTAACATAAAATATAGTTGAACAATTGTATACATTTATCGGCAGCCTGACAACCTAAACTGCAGAATGGTAGAACAGTTTCGAAGTGGCTTCTAGGCTAGTGTTGAATAGGTCTACACATGTGTGGATGACTGATATGCTGGGGACGTTAAAAGTGGGTCGTAAATACCTCTCACGTTTGTGCACACTATCAATCCTTGATTTGCTCGCGTTGCCCCAACGGCACAAATCGTCCGTGTGCGTGAATACCGCAGATGTGGTGGTCTAATGAGCATCGGAGTTGTCGCATACTATGACTGTTTCCAGGGCCCACATTCTATAGGAAGACAACGCGTTATCAAACAGTTCCCGATGTTCACAAGACAATGCAAAGCTGTTTTGAATAACAGTAATACCGATAGTGGTAGAGCAAGAAGGCAATTTATATCTTCACTGCGATAATATTTGCCTCAAAAGTAAGGCCATTGAGGTGTTATAATGGTGGATTTATCGTTAAGCTTTTTTGCACACTACTTTCATCTTTTCAAATTTCCTGCTTGCTTTCCAATCAAACACTTCTTTCTACCTTTGGTACAAGTAATGTTTGCTTTATCATCTTAAGTAGCCAGTTGCTTTGATTACCTTCCCGTTTTCCCAAAGTGATCAGCATCATAACCACTTTATTTTTAACTGTGTACAACTTGGACTTCTAACTACACCTTACGTGCATATATTTTTTTGCAAAGTTATATTATTTCTTATATCAAGCATGAAGCCATTAACAAAATAACTGATGGTTTATATGAATGCGTTAACGTGTGTTTGTTTAGCATTGCAGACAGTTTTTAAATCACTCAAGGTAAAAGCCACTCTTATACACCTCAAAATACTTAAATATTCGAGGCACATGTTAAACCACTTAAAATTGCGTAATTACACTGCAACTTATGCAGCTGTAGGAATTTGGCAGCAGCCAATTCAATAAAAAAGAAGAATTTCAACATTTGATTTTTTTACCTAATTTTGATCTAGAAAAACTCACTATGGGGCATTGCCCTATAAAATCCCCAAAAATTGGCGACGATTAAAAGGATCTAAAAAACAAAATAAGTTGCCTGCAAGCTGGCTCTGCTATAAAATTAGATGCCGAATTTATTGTCATCAACAAAACAGACACTAACCCTTATATGTACATTTACAGTGACACTGATATTGCTTATAAACCATTTCATTATCTCCCTTTACAGTTCGAGGGTAGCCTATCCAGCTGCGAGCAATTCATGATGTCCAAACCACGAGAGTGGTGGTGGCATGCAACAAGTAGGTATGCAACTCTAAAAGTACATAAAGAACGAGAATCACGCAATTGAATAGAGACGATAAGAATGGTATAAATGGCGACACATCTCAGCACGCAAATGAGTAAACGAAGCAGAGACAGTTGGAGAAATGAAATTCGTAAGCTGGCCATGTTCGCATTCGTGGAAGTGGGCACCGTAGGATGATGATGTTTACAATATGTGGAGAAGAGTGCACAGTCGTCTGTGGTGATGCCGCAATGTGGGAAGCCATGGGGATGGTCGTGCTTGTGGTAGACGGAACCCACGACTGAGGCTGCTTTTCCTGGCACTGACGCTGGTGAGGAAGCCACCCAAATGCATGGAGGTGGAGGATCCAACCGACGGTGTAAAAGCTCTCGCCTACTACTTGATTATTCAACATCAACCAAATACCACCTGTTCAGATTATCTGTAGCAATTACTACGTAAATAAATAACTGAGCATCAGATCTCAAAAGGCTTTTTTACAATGCCGAAGCAGCGATGGTGATGAGTAGTATATACAGGATTTACCGGCTGCTATGAACTAATACTATTTAGCGTTTTAAATCAGCAGAACACATCCTCCTAGAGTTCCTTTGGACGCCGCTGACTGTGTTTCTATAATTTCGTCCACTTTTTGATTGCCACTTAACCTCATGTAGTGTCGACTTCATGCTGCTGTAAAAACATGATCAATTGGTATGTAGGTAGGCAAATTCATGTATTACACGTAGCGTCCATTTCTTTCAATGGGTCCAGAGAAGGCAATCTCTGCTCTGCGGGATATCATAGAAGTGTGTACACATCCCCACAGTTGAAGCTCTTCCTCGGCCGTGATGTTAATGTACCAGTACCGCTTTAAGTCCAAATTTCATTATGAAGTGTATACTATTCTCTTCTGTGTATCATGCTCGGGTTAACACGGACACCATTCAATGGATATTGCTACTACTCGTATTTTAACACAAAACGTACCGGTCAACTCACGAATTCCACTATGTTTGCAGTCTACATGCTTTGGTTAATGTTGCCCTGTGTGTTAAGTCGTGTCGCCTTATGTACTGTACTCAACGGCTCTAATCATTCGGAAGATTCACCAATGTCCCGATAAATCGGTACCTCTGCTCAAATTATGGAGTCATGCTAAATTCGTTTACTCCAGTCAGTTCTCTTAAGGTAGCAGAGTTTTAAGCTGTACGAAATTGGAACTTAAGTGGTTTTGATGCTGATAATTCGAAAGAGATCTGAAGGGTGAACGGAGCATTTGTCTGCTAAAAATAGTAAAACATGCATCTCAATACTAAAGATCGGAAAAGGTGAGCAACTGAATAGCTAGCGGGAAATTTGAAAAGGTGAAAGTGAGTGATACATAAAAGCTTGACAATGAAAGTACAATCTGAACGCACCAAGGGTCGTACTTTTGAGAGTAAATAACCTCCTTAAAGTTACATATAACACTCCTGTGATACTACTCAATGGCATTAATGGCGTGCAGACCAGCGTTGCCTTTTATGAAAGTGGGGCAATGTTTGACGGCATACATGCTGGAGAATTTGACTCTTTCCACAACAATCGCAAGAGCATTTGTGTAAATATCTTATTCACTATCACCCATGACAAGGCGAAATCGCTTGCAAGGCGGTTGTGTGTATGAGGGCACCAGTTGTGTTTCATATATTATCGTATCAATAATGCTGTTGATCTTGTCTTCTAATATTAAGGCAGAGGCACACAGACATCGAAAGCCTCTACCAAAGCTGGAGTCAGATGCATCCGACAAGCTGCACAGTAAATGGAAAATTTGACAGCTTTCGTGTGTGGTGATTAGGACTACCCATGCAGAGATGACTGACGTGCAGGTGATTCTTAGCAAATCACAATGTCTCCCAGGAGTGCGTACACTTCTATTCCTCCTACGTGCTTGCCTTACTCCATCCACACAAAGTAGCTGTTCGTGCACCTGCTTGAGTACGTGAGTGCCCCTGTACACACTGTGGCTGTGGTGGTGCGATGAGCACCACAGATACCAGTAACTATGACTGCCTCCACATGTCACCTTCAAAGCAGTGATTGCTTGCACTTACAATTTGCCTGCTTCTGATAAGGCGACGTTAGTTAGTATGAAGTAAAAGCAAACAATCAGTAGATCAACTAAGTGTTTCCAATTTTTAATGTGATATTTTACACTCTGGATTGTAAGAAGTTTTGTGGTTTTATAATAATGCACTTCTTGTCTAGCACGTGCTCATCACCTCCCTTCACCTCGTCGACTTGCTGAAACGGTTCCTCTACCCGACACCTCTCTTGGTCCTTAATAACATTAATGTGGATGCACCATTGTGGCGAGCATTTATATATTTAGCATAATGTTATTAAATCAATCTACAGCAAGGCGTCATTTGCTCTAGTCGAGAGAAATCTAGAAATGCTGCCTTAACTAGACGCGTTAGATTTCGACTGAGGTAAACTGATGTGTTTACAAACAGGAATGCATTTTCAAATGAAGTGCCTTGTGTTTTTCGTTTTAAACAGACAGCAGAATCAACTAGAAGGTAGTTCTGTTCTTTTCACCTAAAGTTGCGCGCCGCATCAGGTGCTTGGCAGTGCACACTCATTTTTGCGTGAATGCAATGAAAGGTGTGAAGATCACAAGGAAAATACCATGGGTCAAGGTTAGATTCGCAATTCTCCTGAAGCAATTCATAATGATGCTCTAACTTAAAAAGAAGGGAATTGTAGCAATCAGCATGGCTATTGTCTCGAGTTCTTGGCATTTGCAAAGTGGAGCAATTCTTTAAGCACTTCCACTCGTAATTATGGGCATGTGTATAAAGTGGTGGAGAGAATTGTAAAGCGGATCCCTCCCTGAGATAGAAATGTCAAATTACTCTTCCATGAAATCCATCAGTGCACTGTAATTCTTTCTCATACACACAATGAAGAACATAGCAGGTATATTTGATGAGTGCTCATCGATAAGTAGACTAACTTTTAAATAATGGAGCATACTTTTGAGCATCTGAGTTGACCCATGTAGAGGTGATGTACTTGAACATCCCCTAAAATTATTTGCCGTGCTTTCTACTCTTTCCCATTTCTATCTCTGTATTTGTCCTGCCTGTCGTTTTGTATTTGCGTTAAGAAACTACCTGCTCCTCAACCTCACTTCATATTGACAAAGTTATGTCGCGATTCACTGAGAGCGATTAATCCCTTAGGTGTGGCATGATTGCCCTCACTGATAAATCAGGTGATGCTGCACTTCCAATTCCTGATTCAAATGCATCCATGCACCGCTTGGTTTAGTAGATCCACTTTGAGGCTAACTGTCCTGCCATTTGTACCCTATTTTAGATTGACAGCATCGAATTCGCAAACAATTGCAATATGCTTAGCAATGAGCATTGCATGAAAAGCATCCCATTTATTGCTAAGACATGCGTTCCACTAACTGCGGTGCCACTTACGCAGAAAGGCAGTTGATGCATGCGTGAGCTAGTTGCTTCAACACTCATGATCATGACAAAAGCCGATTATCAGCAGGTTGACCACAAACCGTGTTGGCTGATATAATAACAGTCTCAGTTCTCTCTACTAATATATGGAATAGGTAAAATCTCAATCACATCTACTGCAGCCTCTGGCTTTGCTTATATATGTGCATCATTGTGTGACGCGTAGGCCAAACTAACACGCTCATGCGTAAACTTCAGTGCTGATGAAGCCCATTCCCTTGAGTTACTTCACCGAGATAAATTGAATCTTCTACAGGTTAAAATAGGCAAGTCTTTCCATTTGCTGAAAAGCCGATTTAATCCAAGTCTCCTTGCCTCTAATCACATAGCCGTGAAAATATGTGCGCATTCATTACCCCTGTAGTCACATGTCAGACCGTGGACATATCACCAGTGATAGCATCAACCGATTCTTCCACAAATTTATCCAAGCATTGCAATTTGGGCAAGGCCTTTGATATTCTCAAGAAGATACTAAATGCAGACGTACAATAGTTAGATACTAAGTTGACAGTGGTGATGCTAAAAGCCAGGAGAGAGATTTACTTTGTGTCAAGGCTTATGGAGAAGCCTCCTCATTTCATTGAGTTTGATGAATAAACGGAGAGCTGACACCCGCTTTTCAAGTTTCCCTTGGCTGTAGTTAGTGTAGCTGATGTGAAATGTTTACTCCTGACTGGCTTGAGGTATACTACGGTGATTCATTATGGTGGTCCCTGTCCATAATTAGGCAAGCTCACAGTGGAATCCTCTGGTTGCCTAAGCCCTCTCAGAATCAAACGACTTGACTTGATTTACCCTGTTCCATAAATCAACACGAAATCAACTGCAAGTAGGTGGCAATTTGCACAGGCAATACAAGCTAAAATTATGGCAAATGGAATCTTGATTATGAAAACATTCTACCCATATCTTGATCAATGTGAGCGCTGGCGATGTCGTTATTTTGGACGCTTAACTCACATCGAAGTTGATCTGCAAATGTGCATGACAGCTGCCTAATTTGACTAGGCGTATTTAGGCTGCCCCCAGTTATCCGGCCTCTTCTGGCCCAATTTTAGCTGTTAGGCTAAGAGGTTATCTCGGTTACAACCCACCATCCTCGTTTATTTTACTCACACAGTGACACAAAGGTTGCTCATTTTGTTTCATGGCACCCAGTAGGAAATCTTCAGTAAGATTAGCAGCGATACGAGCCATCATCTTGATTCACTCAGGACTAACTTCAGAATGCCTTATACATAGCCGTTTTGGGATGTGTGCACCACTTCCTTTCCTGTGCATACCTCACTTTGCTGGATCTTCCGTCTATACGAATTGCACTCCAATTCGGAAGCAAATAATCAAAGGCCAGAAATTGAGCTAGTGCATAGGTGATCCCGTTAAGTAGATGACATGCTAAGTTCCACTATCAGTTCCCCAAAGAACTAGCAAATAACTTTCAGCAGTTGGAATAGCGAAGCATGTTTCACATCTGGGAAGGATGATTTTGACACGATTTGTTGCATTTTTGAACGGAACATCAATTTCATTGGATTGTAAAAGGTCTACAAAGGCGCAACAGTGTTTGCCAGATGTTGGAAAATGGTTGTTTAAAGCGAGCGGGGCTGCCGGTGTTATTAAGAGTGTCATCTATTTTATAGAGATGCTGCAAAGATGCCATTCAAATTTATGGAGAATTGCGTATAACCAACTACTTATTTTCGACGGCCAATGTACATTTGATACACTGCTACGCGCTTGAGTCCAAAAGAGCACACATGCAACACTTTTTAGCATGATTCAAGTCACGCAGTCCTCAGTGTTCGCGGCACTGCGTTCCGATTCCTCGGGACCATCTATCGTGTCACGCAACTAACTTATTATTATCACTCGACCTTATTACGGAAAGGCCTACTACGGCATTAACAACGAAGCTACGCCAAATACTTTGTCAGTCGTGCGGAAAGTGGCACCCAGTTCCATGGATTATCCTGTTGTAAAAATTGACCATTTCTTCCTCGTTTGCTGGGATTGGCCTTCCTGCGGAACTGACGCTGCGACTGTTTGAGCATCAAGTAGGGGTAGCGTTCAGCTCTTCCTGTGTGGTGGTCGCAGAGTCGGTGGTCCGCATGCGCATACACTCCATTCTGCCCCATCTTTATAAACGCCAGTGACGATGACTTCCGATGCATGATAGTGCATGCGTGCTAACTGATCTGATCCAGATCTGCATTACTACTTTACATCAAATATAGTCAATTCTTCCTATTTTGGCCTGTAGCTTACTCCACTATTTCTTCTATAACGAATTATATCCACGAGCAATGAAGGTAGCTTTTACACATTGTGCAGCACAGTGAGCACTGGCGATGGGCAGTGAAATGCTTTTCTAGCAGAGGTGACATAGGCGTGGATGCAATCTTTCAGTGGCCGATTCATTTAAGTAACGCTCATGCATCCACAATCCAATAATGTCCTTCAAACTGCGTCTAGACTCCAAGCGCGATGGTAGGACATTTGCCCATGCAATCTCGAGGGGTCTACAGCAAATGCAACGTGCGCATAGACGCCGTTGACCCCATACGATTGACCGGCCATGATGGCACTCGTAGCTGTTCGTCTACATGCCAGACACCATCTGCACGGAATAAACTTCGCTGGCTAAAATAGCGCAAATATCCAAAGTAAAGGGAAATCGTGGCATTAGTAGTTACTTGGAAATTGAGGACGTTTGGTTGAGTATAGCATTTGAAAAGACTAGAAATTTTTCTGCTCAATTGACGCAAGTATGCCTTCTCTACATTAGCAAGAACAATGAAGCACTTTTCCTAATCTTATTGTAAATTGGTTTTATGATTTGAGCTATGAACGAATCAATAAATCTGCTTGAACTCAAAATACCGACGCTTTTCCCAGTGCATTCAGCTTGTGCCATCATCACTACCACTCTCTCACCGACCAACAGTCGTGGGTGCATGTGCAGCTGACTGCCTCGACATGGTACTTCTTCATTACGCCGATTGAAGTGTCCGTTAGCTTCGTTGTCACAGAGACGAGCACTAGACGATGGCAACCTGTGTTGTCTTCAATGCGCATTAGGAGGTTTATCTCTCCTCCATGGTGTACGCTATTCATTTTAGCAATAAAAATGTATGATAATTGATTTGTTTGCAAGGAATCTGGGCGAGGAATTGGATTTTATAAACGAACATTGCAAGACTCTTGATAAAATCACCGTTTTTTGAATATCATTTACCATAGTGCTTCCGGACACAAGAAATGCCTCCGTTCTGGAAGACTTCTGCCTAGGCCTAAATGATGGAGCCTATAGTGTTCCCATGCTGGTTGTGGGATTGAGTAGCATTGATCATGCCAAGCTTTGTCACTTGATGATGTGATGCATTCCATCGTAGCCCTTGTAGTTAAAATTGCCCTACAGGACGTTTCAGCACACAACACTACTGTGTTGCTGCGAGGAGGAGAACTGAGCTGTCGAAATTGCAATGCGTGTACAGGATTGACTGCATGGTGCCCGAAATTCCCACCAACAGATTCGCATCCGGTTAGATGACCCCATCGGATTACGTTCTTCCTCAATCTGTGGTCATTAGAGCTATCCCATCGTAGGTTAAGTGCTGCCAGGAATGAATGCGAAATGCATGAATTTTAAACGGGATAAACAGAGTAAGAGCATTTGCAGTGCAGATATGTGGCTGTCTTTGTGTTGACTATGTCAATGGAATGAATGAATGAAGGAAGGAATGAGCGAATGTGCGAATGCTGAGCAGAGGAGAGGTAGCAGCTAAGTGGTGACCAAGTGTCAGGTTATGAGACTGAGCTCTGCTGTAAAGTAAATACTGGCTGCTAACAACCCCAGTCTGCAAGAAACTCACCGATGCAAATTATCCACTTATTCATATTCATCCCCGAAACACACAAGAATTGCTCACCATCTCATGTGCCTCTCAGTCTAAAAATTGCAGTCACATTCAGAATGAGTGCATTCATCACCACGACACATTTACTGATACTATCAGGTGGATTTATAATTGGCCAATCTGGTATGCGCCAAATCCTCTTTATTTAAATGCGCATCTATCCGTACGAGTGATTCAGCAGCCACAAATCAAATATCCACCTGTGGCAAATTATAGAAAGAGAAGTAACAAGGCAGCATTGAGGATGATTGTATAAGGTCAATCCTACGCTACCTGGCTCAGGTAGATCACCGGAGTAGCAGCCAATAACACGCTCTTGTTATCATAGCCAAGCTAATCGCGACCTGGAAATGAGCAACTTGTGGATGGTGGACTTGCATAAATTTTGCCGCAGTGCAAGTGTTGTCCTCCTCTCCGTGGCAGACGAAATGCACGACTGCGTTTGTGCTTGCACCAACGCTGGTGATAAAGCTGACGATTATTGCAGAATTTGACGATCATCCTAATGGTTTAAAGCTTTCCTCACTCCTTGCTTGCCTTAAACTTGATTCGAATGCAATCGGTTGCAATCATGTCTTAAATTTGATAATCGTACGACTATTACCCAGCTAGTATCAGAATCATGAGTAATTTGCATTTCTCATACCTGATAACAATGCAAAATGACAATAATAGAATACATACAAGGAGAGTGCACTTCCTTTGCACATAGGAGAGCATTTACAGTGTTTGCTAATTAGAGCTAAAGCATCTCACACCTTAGAATGGCAACGCAAGCTGTGATGCCGGAATTACAAAATGGAGCATTTAATTAAGCAGCCTCACTTCCGCGCAAACTCAAAGGGAGAAGACAGCAAAGCATATTAAGAAGCAGACTTCTTGTCGATAGAGAGATGTCACGTTTACCGTTCTGGGGATTAATTAGTGCGTCACATTGTTTCCTAAATTAGTAATGATTAGTCACTTAGCTGAA